TCTTAATTAATAACGAATTTAAGGCCTGAACATTTAATTTTGTAATATAAGTACTCGTGATTTCCGCTAGTCTTTTCTGCTACTCATACTTCTATGTTTCCTTAAAATTTTACGTTCAGTGCGTACTTTAAATATTTCAGTTATCTTGATAAACAATTTTAATGAAAGAATTATTTTTAGACCGTCTAAAAAAATACCTTACCAATTTTATTACTTTGATTTTTCATCTGGAAGAAGTCATTTCATTGGGGTTCGAAAACTTTTTGACTACAAATTACGGGTTGATTAGTACTAATTATTATCTGTTGGGTTAACTATCTTGCAATTACAAGTAGCATTGAAAATCAACTCCCACAACTTAATAACGTATTTAAAATATTTTGAAACTGAGTAAGCGTACTCCACCTTAAACTCGTCCTAATCACCACCAGGAAAGAGTGAGGTCAAATGCAGATCCAGTCCAAAAAAACTATGACTGTTACGTGATTTAGAATTATATATTCAAATACCTTAATAATTATGACTATTTTTAAAAACAGAGAGACAGTAAACATAATTTTTCTGCCATATTCAAGGTCAAGGCAGTTAACGCGCCTAAGGCACTCCTACTGGGACCAACGCGGAGGGTTCAAGTTTTACCCTCAAGGCTGAGTGAAATTAAGGTCGGTTGGTTATGATTTTGAACCGATTCATTTCAAAATCCAGTTTGTAATCATTTATCAATCCGGTGAAGTCCTCAGGAAATATTTCCGAGTTCCCAACCTAAGGTCGCCCGTCCCTAAAAACTTCATATTTAGGAGAAAAACGAAATAAAAAAAATCGCAATACGTACTCACTTTGATTTTCATATTTTATAAGTAGCAAGGTGATTCGTTCTTACTGACCTCTGCCCTACTGGCCCCTTAACTGATAATTATTCAGTTTTATGCATTTTCCTGACGATAAAAAAGAGGGCCAGGCTTGTAGCGGTTTGAAATCGCTGATCCAGATCCTGGTGAAGTAGGTGATCCACCGGTAAAGGCGTTGGCTATCAATCATTCAGTCAGTGTCGGTACTATTTGTTTCTTTGAAACAATGTTAGAAATACATTCATGAAACAATATTACATTATTTTGTGAATGCCGGTATGTCACAGGCCGTGCGGCTGTGCGGCCGGCGTGCGTCCCTGTTTCAAACCGGGATAAAAACTATCCTTTCTATCTCTCGGGACTCTATCTCTATACCAAATGTCATCTTAATCAGTTCAGGAGACAGATAGACTCAAATGTGCATTAGTAGATAATATGGATTAAGTAGGTATATTTTTCAGGAAACTTTACTAAAGTTTGTATTCAAAACCTTAGCTCAATAAATTGTGAGAAGGTCAATTTTTACTTTAGATGACGTTGATTACCAGGACATTAAGATAAAAATAAAACCATTATTGACAATATTTTTGGCATGATTCATGTGACTTACTGTACCCAGCGGGCTTTACCACGGAAATCCGTTTTGCAAGTATTGTTTCTTAATGAAGGCAGTAAACGATAATTTATAAAAATGTGTCAAACTGTATCACCTATACTTCTGTTAACTTACACGTGAACAAAGTTTATCTAATGTAATTTATTAATTCATTCTAAATTTATTCGTAGCATACTAGTTTTTTCTCGCGGCTTTACCTGCGTTAATCATAGTCGGTTATAAAAATCAATAAATTAATGATTTCAAAAAGTTATTACTGTGTTGTTCCAATATTTAACCCCTCTAGTGATTTATTCCAAGGTCCAATCGATCTCCATACAAAAAATCCTATCTTGTTTCGTGGGTGTTTCAGTTCTATTGATTTTTCATGGATTCCGTGGAGTTAAGTATGCCCGTAAGCAGGTTTCGAGACGCCCACCGGGTCCAAAGCGGGTTGTTCATACGACAACCCACTCGACTCTCGATGCGCGCTCAAATTCGAAGTATTTCAATGTTTTTTATAATTTATCACTTCACTGCACTTTAGAACACAAAATAACACCAAATTTGTACACTAAAGTCCATTAAATAATAAATTAAACCATTAAAACAGATCGACCATGCTTCCCGTTCAACTACCCTCCACGGAATCCCTATCTTCTTTAAAATATTTCAAATTGAAAATGTCACAAACATTCTTTCACATTTTATTGTAAGTGTAGATTGATTAGTCTATACTCCTTCGTGTTTAAATCAAATAAGACAAAAATGTGGGTTAGTGACAAGGCAAGCCTTCAAAACCACAGGTAGAGCAACCTGTGAAATGTAGCAATATGGTAACATTCCAATCAATTCAATGATTTGAAAGAATTTTTAAGTGTGTAGCTCCATGGTATACACCCACACCAACACTTTTACCTCTTTATTATATTAGCACCTAATGGATATATGTGAACCTCTAATCAACGAAGTGATTAACGTTCACTTATTATAATTTATTGATAAATATTCAAGTTTAAGTATTTATATAACTTTCAAACTTCAACATCAGTATTATTCTAAGCAGTTGGTTTTCTTTTAAGTGAAATGTCATGTTCTTTGTATATTTAGCATATTGGCCAACCTAGTATCTGTTTTATTTGTTCCTCAATAAAGCTTATTAGAGCTAATGGGATTTCAGTTTGAAAGTTGACATCAACTTAATCCGAATTACCTATCAGTCCGTGGTTAAGTCATTATTAGCAATAGGAGTCTTTACTAAACTTATTTTGAATATGTTGAGGCTAGTTTTCTTCCCAGCTATGTTTAGACAATATGCCACCAAGTGTTCTTTTTCCAGTGTTTTGAATACCTATTTGATTGAACTGAAATAATCTTGAGGTCAGAGAGACACTTCAATGTCTTCTTTAATGTAGATATCAATCATCTTTTAGAAACTGTAAAATTGCTGAAATAGGTAGGTACATTTATGTGTACTTAATATTAAAGCGATGCTTAGGATAGCATCGCGTGAGATGATTTCATGATGCATTTCACTAATAAACAAGTTCAAAAATCAAGACTAGTTTATCAAATTGCAAATTAAACCAAACTACACGTTCACATCCCTCGTAATGACTATCCTGCTTCCCGCGAATAACCAGCTATTAATGATCTTACCTTATGCGTCTGTGTCCAATGTCAAAACCGAATAACAGATCAATTCTAACTTAATCACTATGACCTAACACCTCCCAAATATGTTAAACTTGAATTACTTTCTAGAGCGATTATTACGCCATGCTTAACTAGTGGGACTAAATAAACAACAAGTCATGCGTTATCTGTGAACCCTATGCCTTTAGAGTGATATTAAAAGTTGGTGTACTTAAACGTCCGTCCACTCTGAACTTAAATAAGTGATCCGTAAGTAAAAACGGGATAACCGTCCGGCCCGGCTCTACCCCTTTCTGAATATTTATAAGTAGGTACGTACGTACTCAATACATGCCTTTTTCAGCCATTATAATAAAAGTACTTTTTTAAAAATACGCTTGTTAGAAATTCAAAAGCCGTCAGTAAAGATTCTCAGTTTTATAGACTAAGGGTCATGTTAATTTCCCATTTTCCTCTAGTAAATTAGAGAGGGCCGTCCCCATGCAGTGGAGACCAAATGATCTGATATAATGAATGAATTATGGGTGACACCAATTCCTAACGAATTTCTGTAAGCTTTTCTTTGTCTAGCTAGTTCAAAAGGGGTAGCATTTTGAGACTTAGCCCTTATTTTAAACTAAATAAAATAAGATTACGAGTACAGTGAACAAATGCCCGTCTTTTTGCTAATTTTCGATTCAATTTTACTAATTTGACATTACCCTTAACACGAATTTAACGCTTCATTTCATTAATACGTACGCTGAATAAGTCGAGCGTGTGTCTTTTGGTCACGAGTTTTTGCAAGCATAGTTATTTTTAGAAGGGACAGCCTTAAACAATAAATACATACTTACTTACCATGATTTCATCTCTTACCCTTTGAAGTAGAGCTATAATTTCTTACGATAAGAATCAACCTATATTTTGGCCAGGTCTCTGTGTTTATAATCCGTAGATATAGTTATTATTGTAGGATTGAGTAATATAAGATCAAGCCAATTTATCACGATTGTAGGATAATTATTTTGAACCGATAATTAGTAAGACTCTAATGACCGTCAATTAGTTTGTTCAGTTCCGAAACAAGATATCATAAAAAACAATTTTATGTGTAATTAGATATTTTTATATGACCCTAAAGTAGTAAGTAAACTGCAATAAATTATAGGATAATATAAAAATATATAATCTACCTATTATCGCATAGGCATCATTAAAAGTAATTAATTTCGGGTTGTTTATCAGTGAAAATAATTGTTTTAATGAGCTTTAAAACAAATTTTCACTACAAATAACAACATGGGTATGTACTCGTATGTACATTATGAAGAAACATCATATACATAACTTGTTAATTGAAGTTATGGTGTTCTTGTGAAGACATAAGAAAACTAATTAAGATTTATGACATAGATAAAAAAAGTCAACAAATCTTACTTTTTATTAGAATCAAAAATAAGGTCACAAAAAGCATAATATAGGTAGCCAAGTAGGTAAATATGTACTTGTGACACCTAATTTAATGTTCCATTATGGTTCAATTCATACTTAAAACATAATTTTCTCAGCACATTGAACTTACGCCAAGGTTACACTATTTGCTGGTACAAAGTCCTTTGTCCTATAAATACACAAAAAAGGTGTGGTGTGACCTACATATCGCTAGATGGTATACATGTATACATAGTGATTTTTGTCCTACAATATTCAAAAAAGGTGTGGTATAATACTATGATCTACATACGATAGCACGTGTAAAACCGTCCTATGGCCCCTACCCTGATTGGTCAGTTAAGTATGGTGCAATAAGTTACAAATGTGTGGACTGTCGGGCGGTTACTAAGTCTACGTTCTTCCTATGCGTGCGCGCATGGTAGGAGACTATGTTTAGTTTATATAGTGGGGGTGGGTGCGTAAAATTCAGTCGTTCTGCGGATACCAACGACAGCTTTCACGGTAATACGAGCATAGTGTACCCCTATTTCGGAGTTTTGGATTTTGTGTGCAAGTGCTGATATAAAAAAATAAAAAACATAAGTGTTCACATAAAAATACTTAGCTAAATATTTTTACACATTAAAATACATTTTTGGGACTTTGGGGAATTAATGTAGGGAGTAAATTAAAAATTATTGAGTTTTATTAACTACTAGCTGACCCGGCGAACTTTGTTCCGCCTTAATGGCAATAAATAAGCAGACTTTTTTTTATTTCGAACGGGATAAAAAGTATCCTATGTCCTTCTCCTGGCTCTAAACTACCTCCCTGACAATTTTCAGCTAAATCGGTTCAGCCGTTCTTGAGTTATAAGTGGAGTAACTAACACGACTTTCTTTTATATATATAGATTTTTTTTAATTTTTATTTCATTTATTTTATTTAAAATTAAAAATAACAATAATTTTTGAAACAATAGAAAAGCTACAAATTAAAAAGCTTTTCTTGATTTCTTATAAGAGTAGAGAAATCCCTATTCTTTTCCCGTGCATAAAATTTTAAACGTTTTCTAAATATGGCTCTACCGTAATATTTTAACCAGTAGTAATGAAAATAAAACTCAAGTTGTTGAAAAGACAAATAAGTTAACGTCACTCATTCTGAAAACTTTAAATTTCGTAGGGTTGTCACCTCCACAACGATGGCTTGGAAAATCCTTCTATTATGCCTGGTGCCGCTGGCATCAGCAGCCGTGAAGTTCCAGGAGACCTTCGCCTGGAATGTCATGGACTGGAATTATCCAACCGAAGCTTCCAGACAGCAGGCGATCCAAGCTGGAGCGCTAATTCCAGAGAACGCTCTGCCAGTTGGAATTGAAAGATGGAGGAACAAACTCTTCGTCAGTGTGCCCCGTTGGAGACCTGGTATGTGATGGAAATTAATGTTACTTATATCATCATCATCATCATCAGATCATTTAGTTAGTCTCCGCTACAGGAGCACGACTCTCTCTAATTTACCAGAGGCAAATGGAGCATTGGTCCCACGCGTCTCACTAAAATTAATTTTAAGCTGGACAAATCACAAACTATCCATACCTCCTGTCTGTAGGTATCTGAAATACCAATTATTACATTAATTTGGGGTAGTGAAAAGCAAATAGTAAAGAATAAAAATAGAAAACTTAAATAAACAAAAAATACATTTATTGTAAACGTTTCAAAATCAAATTACCTATTACGAGAACTTTCCCGTTACGGTCAAAGTTTACTATTTCAAACTAGTATTTTATTTTATAATAAAGAACAGGTTATAGTTACTTAAGAGTAAATATGATAATCTCTTTGGATAAAAATAAAATGATTATGTTAATTCGATGGATTAAAATGTAGGTCACATAACGAGTTATTCTTAACGGTATACAAAGCTTTGTTTTGTGGTTTGCACACTAGCTACTGGTGTCTAGTTAATTTAACGAAGGTCATCCAATGACCTTCTCTTTATCGTGACACATTATCATTGGTCGATGAAGGTCTAAATAATGATTCAGGTCAGTAGTACTTACTGTACCTCTAGCACGAAAAACTTTCGACTAAAACTAGTTTGCGTATTCGAATCGCCATCACAAGATTTAGGCTGAATTATCATCATCATCATCTTAATTTAACTTTGACAAACGTGAAAAATCTGTCAAACTCCATACAAAAAGCAAGCATGGTGCAACTCAGCCTAAGTGTGAAAACTTAAACAACGCCCCTGTGAATATGACCTAAGTAATTTTGACAGTTGAGATCGTCACAATCGAAGGCTGGGTATCGAATTTTGTCGAATACGCAAACGATTCGAAGACGAAAGTTTTTCGTGCTAGCTACACTGTTGTCACTACATTCATTCATACGGACTCGTACGAATACGGAACGGCTACGGCTTTGAGAAATGATAAACATCTTAATAGCAGTTCATTTGTCACATAAACCAACCCAAGTTTATTATAGTCGTCATTCATATTGCTTGTTTTAGTTAATTACTATTGTTTATTGCAAAACGTTGTTCATAACTTAGAACATAAACTCTAATTTGATTTGGATTCGCATAAAAAATGCTACAACGTTTAGCTTTTTGATCATATACTTATATTATGAAAGAATAACAACGTTCAACATAATTTGTAACGTCAGTGCATGTCAGGAAGTCAATATTAGTAGTAGTAGGTTCCAAAGTATAATGATTGCTAGCTAATTTCACTAAATTACTCATTACACCATAACACTGCACTTATTGCTTACTACACAACGTATGCGGTGTACATAGGTACTTTTCGTTTGTACTATACCACCTAAATACCTCTATATCCTCCGCTGAACAAATTGACTGGTATTTGCTCAAATAGTATTAATCTATCCACATTTCAGGAAATATTCTAAAAATATTGAATTCTTCAATGCCTGAGTTTCAATCGAGTCGTGAGCGATTTCAGTTACGCGGCTTGTCCATCATCCATTTCTGAACTTTTAACAAAATTGTACATACATAAGATGAACGATATAAAAAGAAATTCTTTTCTAAGAACTCTACACATTCTAACAGAGCGCAGACTTCGAGACAATTATTATAGACCAGTGCAGCAGTGGGCTGAGTGTGAGTCTACATCAAACGTCCTCACTAGTGAGCGCGTTAAAAAATGTATGAAAATCTTAGTTCTTGAACGTTTCCGCCAGGGACGCTGTACAATCCGTCATACATTTAATGTCATTTTTTACCTAATTTGATGTAAACACACACTAAGCCCTCAGCACAAAGAAGAAGCAGCGCAAAAACGTATACTCTAAGCCAGCGGTTCCCAAACTTATTTTGTCTACTGCCCACTTTGAGAATAAATTCGAAAAATTACATTAAATTTTCAAGAGTCAAATGCTCAGTCGGTGTCTAAGAGACCTCCTAAGTAGATGAAATTACAAATGGCCTACCAAGCCTCTACACAATGCCCCGATTTTTTTCCGGGGTCTCTTACCGCCCCCCTTTAAGCCTGCAGCGCCCATAAACGGGGCGTTATCGCCCACTTTGGGAAAGACTGCTCTAAGCGAAATGCACATTAACTTCAGAGCAAACCATAATCATGGTGTGGCCTAGTTTTCTTCATAAGATGACTGAAATTCATAATTGCCTTCCGCGTACACTAATGTATCAATTAGAATCGTAACAGAATTACCTAAATTAGCTAAACCAGCTAAGTGGATTTGCTGAAATGTTTCGATTCGTAACGCAGGCGCCACTTGCAGTAAAATGATTATGCTAATCATATTGATTAATTTCGTTATACAGGGTGCTCGAAGTCTTAAGATTTGGATTCCGCACATAATGGAAAACCCTCAGAATATGCGTAATTTATACATAAAACAATAAGTACTAATGCTTACTGTAGTTATAAATTCAATTAATATGTTAATCCACATTTTGGCTTTAGACGGATGTCACTCTATTATGTTTTATCTACTCATCCGTAAATGATTTTTGGTCATTCAATCAATTCTCTCGTGAAAGTTCAAAAATTAATTTATGTCAAGCTCAGCGGGTGTCCAAGTATTTCAGGGTTGCCACGTTTCGTTACTCAACGAAATAATTATAAATCCAAATCCGGATCAGTCGTTAAATTATGTCAATTTGTTCAGTTCATAACAAGGCATAAACTAACACGCACATAGAGACATTAAATACATACTTCCATCTTAAATTCCAATGTTAAATGGAGATATTTAAGTGTTAAAATTGCCCACTTAGAGATGGGTGTGTAATGTATGATATAACTACATATCATATAATACTTAGAAGATATAACATCAAATTATATAAAATCATTTAATATAATAATTATTTACTATAATAAACGGATAATATAATTTTAAAACGAATAATTTTAAGACAAATAACTATTAACTGATATAAAATGGTTTGATATAATGAATATTTTCTATAAAACTCACAATGTATAAAATTTAAAATAAATAACATTCAAATCATATAAAAATAAAGTGTCGAACAATCAAATGAGATAAAATTCTTTTCCTATAAAACTTAAATCATATAACAATAATAATTTTATATAAAGTTCAATTATCATAATAAGCATTGCATGCAGCAAGCAAACAAGCAAGCACAGAATAAGTAATAGTACAGGTACAGAAGGATTACTCCGCAAGACGATTTAAATAAATGCAAGTCTTGCTACGACGCGATACAGTGGAATTCAGCTCGCACAGCACTACGTACCTACAATTTTATTCACCTACAAGTTTTGTCTCTTTCTATCGCGTGCCTCTGAACTCTTCTTACGCTGTTAGGGTTGCTGTCTAGTGAAAAAATAATTAATCTACTTATTTGTAATGAGGTACGTATGTAGGTAAGTATGCATTCATTATGGAAAACCTTCATAGTAGGTTAGGTTCCTATACTATCCTAAGAATTATTGATTACCTACATGGCCAACATACCTTTCAGCATCTTTGGGAAGCGAAAAAAAAATGATAAATCCGGTAGATTACTTTTCGAATTTAAACACCCGAACGCCGCACAATATTTCTTTCTCTTTATGTCCATTTTTAAATAATACTTCGATCATAGAATTATAATCATACTACAACGCACGCCAGAGCGTCCTGACGAGCGCGCGCGTGACACTCGACTGATATAATACCCGCCGGCGGGGCGCTTCGCTGTAGGTAATTATCGGATGTACCGCGCGGAGTGAGCCAGGCCTGAAGCAAGCTAGCAAACGAGCAAGCAAGCAAGCAAGCTAGCATGCAGGCAAGCAAGCAGGCAAGCAAGCTAGCAAGCAAGCAAGCTAGCAAGCAGGCAAGCAAGCAGGCAAGCAAGCAGGCAAGCAGGCAAGCAAGCAAGCAAGCAGGCAAGCAAGCAAGCAGGCGTGCAGCATGCAAATTTGACTAAAAACTTGAGACTTCTGTCACGGCTCCGGCACTGCGGGGCTCTGGCGGTCCCTCGCGTGCTAATCGTCGCAGATGGCTTTCGCTCGACACCGCGTCTTCGGCTTGCTGGTCGGCTTCGCCGGCCAGCCTCAGCCGCGGCGCCTTGCTTCCAGCCACCTGCTCCTCAGTCCGCGGGCCGCCTCGCCCCTCCGTGCCTACGCGCTTCTAAATTACACTCTAGGGGTAGGGCAGACAAGACTACGTGGAGTCGGTTTTACGGCGATTCGTTTTTGTCACTAAAGTCATTTATAAGTCAAGCTAAAGAAGAACATACTTAAAGTTATATCTATCAGAAATTATGTCAATTAAAGAGTATAACAAATAGTCGTTATAACAAATAATATTTATTTTATGTAATGGTTATATGAAATATTATTTATATTAAACAAAATTACATCAAATGAGTCTTAGGTTAAGTAAGGTTTATATCAAATGTCTTTATGCGTTTTGATTGGTATCTGAAATGACATTATTAGAAATGATTTATTTTATGAAGTAAACATTATATGTTAAAAAATTATATCAAGTGTTATTATAATATACGTTTATTATACAATATGAACGTTATTGAAATGAATTTATATCATATAAACTTATATAAACTGTCACGCACCCCTTAGAGATAACCTTGTAATCAGAAATATATAATTATTAGGTACTTACAAAACTATACCTTACACACTTCCCCATACAAAACATAATAAAATCTAATCGCGAAGAAGCTTTTTAATGCGTTCGAAATTTTTCCATATTTTTTTCCTCAAACTCTCGCTGCCTAAAATGAATTAATTAATTTGTAAGGAACTAATTTCGCAGATGTTATGTTTTGACCGCCACCACTTGATCTTAATTATTTGAAGTCTAAAAAACTTTCTTTTTCCTTAAAACCCAGGTATCCCAGCGACCCTAAACTACATTCCACTTGACGCGCCCTACGACCCATCGCCGAAGCTGAACCCCTACCCGAGTTGGCAAGGCAACGAGTTGGGCAACTGCGACAGTGGGCTCAACACCGTCTACAGGATCAAAGCCGACAAGTGTGACCGGCTCTGGGTTTTGGACGTCGGTACTTATGGATACGGTAAGATTGTATTACCTAATTTATTAAAATGTTTTATTACTCTACTTTCTTAGCATTCATATTGGGAACGATGTCATTCGGCCGAAGTCCAAAGCAAAGGGCGAAGGAGGCCAAGATTTTGCAAGCTAAAGTGGTAGAGGGCTGTCCAATTCATGCTTTTCAAAGATCCGACGAAATGTAGAGACCCACATCTCGGAAAAAAATGATGTAGGACCAGCTCCATGGACCGACAACCTCAAGAAGATCGGTGGTAGAACTGTAGCTGGAATTTTTTTGCCCTTTACAGATTCACAATAACATAAATTATACGGTTATAATGGCACCAGCACAATGCGTTTAATAGCGTAACTAAGTTACGAAGTACAGTTATGTGTTGCTATTTTTTTTAGTAAGTCACACGTGTGATTCCAAACCAAATGCCAAGTATTAAAAACTGAACAAGAAAAACCTGGGTATACAACGTAGCAAAAGTACAATAAGTGGTTCCACGGATCATGTGTATAAGTAATGTTCAGCTAAGTACATTGCCTGCAACCGATGCAGCGGACTGGAAACGATTCGTTTGCGAGCCGTCAACGTACTAATAAATCGTTTATCCTTCATAATAGCAGACACTAATAAAAAAGGAAATACAGGCGCAAACATAATGTCTTCACATGCAGCAAATTTTCCACGAGATTTTACTATCTCCCAACGAGCTTGCACTACATTGAAAATTAAACTGCTTTTAAATTACAACGAAAAAATAGTTTAGGTAATTTGGAGTAAAATTTAATGTATTTCCGATTGATTTCGTGACTTTTAATTTGTGATGATAACTGAAAACATCACTAGTGCACTATTGTAGGAAACGAGTACTAATTACTATACTTAGTACTATAGAAAAGTTAAACATCTAGCCAAATAAAATTGTGATCTAGCGCTATGGTGTTAAACCACATTAAAAATACTATTAAGGCTAACTGTACTATTATATATTCGTGATATAACCTTAGGTGTAACAAATAAATACTTGCTCTTACGGTAATAGATTGGTGTGGAATGCAGTTTAAGTGTTGTCTCAAACCTATTGAATTCGTTAACTATTGTTTGACTTCAAACAGCTAAATTATCTGTAACAACTCTGATGAGTTTCTGCCAAGACTGTCATTTATTTATGTTTTAAAATGTCATGTTTCAGATCCTAATGTCACCAACCTGTGCCCATACGCCCTGAACGTTTACGACCTGAACACTGATCAAAGAATCAGGCGATATGTGTTCCGCCCTGAAGACATTGTGTCCACCACCTTCATCGCCAACATCGCCATCGACATGGGTTCAAGCTGCGACGACACTTTCGCTTATTTCTCAGACGAACTTGGATATGGACTGATCGCCTACTCTTGGGAACAAAACAAGTCTTGGAGGTTCAGTCACAGCTACTTCATGCCCGACCCCTTAGTCGGCGACTTCAACATTGCCGGCCTAAACTTCCAATGGGGAGCCGAGGGAATCTTCGGAATCACCCTGTCTCCCATCGGCTTAGATGGATACAGAACCTTATACTTCAGTCCGCTATCCAGTCATACTGAATTTGCCGTATCCACTAAAATCTTAAGAGACGAAACTAAAGTCAAAGGCTCATACCAAGACTTCAAAGTTGTAGGAGTTCGAGGACATGATGGACACACCACCTCAAAAGTAATGGAGGGTACGATTCAACTGTTCAATTTGATTGACCAAAACGCAATTGGATGTTGGAATTCCGCTCTTTCGTACAAACCTCAAAACATTGGCATTGTTGACAAAGACGACGTAGGTTTTGTATTCCCATGTGACGTAAAAGTCGACGAGGACAAAAATGTTTGGATGATCTCAGACCGTATGCCCGTATTCTTAGAAGCTGAATTAGATTACAGCGACATCAATTTCAGAATTTACACGGTCCCGTTGGAGACTCTCGTACAAGGAACTGTATGTGAGGCTCCGGTGCAATTCCGATCTGGTGTGAATCCTTCCCAAAACCCTCAAAACTTGCCTGTACTTAGATACCAAGCCACACCATCTCCATTGAGGACCAAGTCTTATACTACAGCCCTCCAAACTCGTCCTACTCCATCGCCGTTCTCCCAAATATCCTACAATGTTATCCCGAAGAGTAACAACTACATTAACATCGATTTTCCTGCACAACCTGCAGTATCATACTTTACTAATGAGCCTCGAAACGCCAATCATCCTTGGTTGTAAGTAGATTAAATGGTTCTAAACTATCCTATATTATTTAAATCGCGTATTTGTGTGTGTGTTTTGTGATAGTTTGATTGGTAAGTGTGAGATATGGTTGTGCATTTCCTACTCGCTTTTGTTTGTGACAAGTGTGCCCGTGTCTGTTATTGAATATTTTGCTTGTTTATTGATCTTAAGCTTTGTGAAAGAGTGATTTCTTATGTGTTCTTAATTCTGTTTAATATTCAGTACAGTTTAGTGTTTTTCTTGAAAACGATATAATGTAACGTCACGTACATTACACAGTTAGTACACTCGATTTATATGCAATTTTGTTGCAAATAAAATTGAATTAATTAAAAAATAAAGCAGTGCTTTTTGCTACTGCTTATTTTGAACATATTTTGAATATATTGTCGAACAGTTGTGTGTGTTTGGATGTTATGGGTGTGAACTGAAATTTTGGTTTTATAGTTAATTAAAATAAAGTGATTCTTTGTTTATTGTGTGTTTCTTTTTTATCCCTAATCGTTGTTATATAAAGATTGCCTTTGTACATAAAAGATAAAGTAACTCAGATAACACTGTAAAAAGTAAAAATAACCGTAAAGTCACGTTTCCTAATAATTTGTTTTGCACGTGTGACTTGAAATAATTTAAAATGAGCTTTTGTTTGCAAATCAACGTCATACTAAGGTATGCGTACTAAGTCATGGTTTTGGTCACTGCTAAGGCTTTATGTTCTGGACACGGTCATCAAGCAAAATTTGGATTTTAATGAGGCAAAATACCTACTACACAAAGTGAAGCACCAACTTATTACTAGGTAATAGGTATTGTACTAAATTCTTACCAAACTATATCGGTAGTACCAATCGCAAGCTATTACAAAGTTGAAAATGCAAGCTTGTTAAAATGAAAACTTTAATTTACTATATCTACAAATTAATTCACTAAAATCACTAATCCATTCTATTACTTGCTCCTTATAATATTGTAAAATAATATTATAATAGGCTATCTACATTGCAGATATTATCTTCTTCTTCAAAGTTCTTTTCATGACTACCTAATAGGTTATTGGACATTTATCAATTTCTACATTAGACTTAAGAAATAAAGTTTATTTCGTAAATTGTCACACATAGTAAACAAAGATAAAGAAGCAAATTAAAAAAAAGCCTTCAGGCTTGTTAGCTACCGAATATTTAGCTTCGTTAATACGATATAATTTAACATACCTTTTTTCTAAATATCCTTCAAACACTTACCGTCAATGTAAGATCATGATGTAGTATTTATTTTGGTAACATTTTTGGCTCTACATTTCTGTTAAACTATAATTTTATGCAGGTCTTTATCCTTATCAGTTCTTTTATATTTCTGATTTACAGTATGCTTAGCGGCAAAAGAAGATAATAATCATAAATGCTAATTTTAATTGAAGATCTGTTAAGGAAGGATGAATGATCAATACAATTGAATACACACTATTGTTATTTCCCATTCATATGCTACTGAAACAGGTCGTTCAAGTAATTTCAGTAAATTAGGTGTTTTCTGTTATAATTAATTTTCAGAGCATGTTATCTTTGTTACCCTATGACGTTGTTAGTTTAAAAGTAATGAGAGATTTATCATATCATATCTTTATCTTAATACATTTACAATTGACTCAGGGCTTACTCGTATACTTAATAATATCTCAATATAAAGCCTTGAAAAACATAATTGTAACACCTTGAGACTGTAGGTCTAAAATCTAGGTATATAGGTTTTTGCATAGACTGATCAATAAGAGCCTAATTTGTATGAAGTTCTGGTCTTTAAGCCGTGTCTGAAAATTTCCGAATAATATTTACTTTATAATAAATGTGAGGCAGCAAGACGACTCAAATGACGGAGTCAGTCTTTGTTAGACGCACGACAACACGTGGATGTGGAAATAATGATACTTTGCACTTATTGTAATAAATTGTTCCGCCAGCCGGCATTTCTGTGGTGATCCTGTGAGAAGCCACCGTGAAAAATCAGTGTATCTACAACTTTAGCACAAGTGATTTGTTTATTTGTGTACGAATATATTTCATACTTAAATTCAGCAAAATGATTACGGAAAAAAATTTAGAAGCGGAGAAGTATAATCCTTACGAGCACCGTGTAGTAGAAAAGCCGAATTCGTAAGTTATTTTTATTTTCACTAACTTTAAAAGTTGAATCTTTCAGCGACTTGGCCTACTTTTATCTTGGTCCACGGGTCAAGTCGCTGGTTTGAATATTGAAATATTTTTTATTCCAGCAACTGGGCCACCTTCAATGTTTTTTTGATAAATTAAACACCAAATCAACAAAAATATGCTTTGGAATCTTAGAGTGGGCCCAGTTGCAGGAAGATAATACATATATTTCAAAATTAAATCCAGTGACTTGGCACTGTAGGTAGACCGTGGAGTGTGGACCAAGTCGCTGGAAGACTAAAAGTTCCGGTAACTGAATCTTTGATGTTACACAAATCTATTTAATTACACGACTAGCTTCAGAGTTTTAAAATATTTCAGAGATATAAGATCGACCGCAAATATTATAAAGGCGTCGTTGGGCTCGGGATTGTTGGCGGGACCTTTAGCTTTCTCTAACGCGGGATGGGGCGTTGGAATTGTTGGTACAATTATCATAGGGTTTATATGCGGACACTGTATCCATATATTGGTGAGTATTATTAATATTATTTTTAATGGCTCGATTTTTTTTTATTACAAGCTTTTTATTACTTTCACATGTCTGGTGTCTGTCGTCAAATCTTGCAACTTAAAATTGACCCACTTCCCGGTTTCCTATTGAGCTGAAATTTTGCATACATGTGTAAGTCCGATGACAATGCAATATTATGGTACCATTGAGCTGGTCTGATGATGGAGTCGGGAGGTGGCCATAGGAACTCCTAAACAAAACGGCGGAAACTCATCGAGTTTGGGTTCGTTGGATTTGTCTTTTCGAGCACTTTAGTGTTAGATAACGTCCAGGGTCCTGAGATTAAGATATAACTAAAAAGTGTAAAATAAAATTATAATAAAAATAAACTTTTTTAAAAACAAGCTTTTATTCTGAATTTCGAAAGCTTGTAGCGCAAACAGAGAAAAAGAGGAATAAATTCCATGCGCGATACAAACTTTCGAAATTCAGAATAAAAGCTTGTTTTTAAAAAAGTTTATTTTTATGAAACAATACTGATATATTCTCTTAAACACTTTGACCTTAGCCTCTTCAAGGCAAGATTAAATAGGCACACTGGAACGAAATGTGGGACACACTAGATACATATTTACACTGCATTAAAAACCGCGTAAAATACTCTTATCCACATTATAAAGTGAATTTATTATTTGAAATTAAGATGACTTATATTTTACAGGTAAAAACATCTAGGGGATGTTGCATAGTAGAAAAGAAACCATCACTTGGCTACGCTGAAACATGTAGAGCTGCTTTTAAGAATGGACCAAAATGTGTTAGGTCTTTTGCAAATGTCGCGAGGTATGTTATAATTACCTACTTATAACTTTTCAATTCTGTATAAGTCTGTAAACACACGATAATTAGTCATACATTTGTAGGAGAAGACCTTGTCGTTTGCACTTGAAACATTAGCTACAGTTTGCACAAATGTTAAAATAAGTAATTAATTATAATGTAGGTATGAATTTGAAATATTTTTAGGAGATGAATATAATTTCAGCGGACCGTTTTCAAGCTGAATATTGTATATTAATTAGATGAAGTTGATGATTTATAGTCAAGGAATTTATGAAAAATGTCCTTAAACGGTTACAAGTTAATTAATTAAGAAGTCGGTTTATCTTTATGCTGTTTTTATTGCACATAATATAATATTCAGTTGACACTATCAAACTGTTGCTGATAAGACAAAAGTGGGTAAGATGACCCATTGTTGACTTTTGCAGTTTTTTTGAAAATATTTATTTAGTAATTTAGGTACAGTCTACTGCACATAAAGTTATATACTGTACTGTACATGTAAATCACATCCATTAGGACTACTTATGAAGTCACAACGTTCCTAGCGCCTATATATCTGAGGATTGATTGACACTACACTTCTACAAAATAAAGTCCCATATAAGTTCTGGCGCCTATACAGGGTGTCCCAAACAATTCAAAGTTAAACCAAAACCCAGAGCAGGGGTAGAGCATCACTTAGGCTGCCGTGCTAGCGATACAACAGTACTAACTCCAATATTTTGTTGATAAAAAACCTCCTGTCAGCTCATCTGAAATAAAGGTCATTATACATAGTTTTGCCAAAGATTGGAGTTACTGCTGATATCGCTAGTACGGCAGTAGGGCTACCCAAATCACCGCAACTCTTTTGACACTATTTATGGGACATCCTGTATATCTGAGATGTTACTCGATTCCTATACAGGACTACTTCAAAATATTTATTACAAAACTGTTTTCGTTGTAGTGTAAATACTCATAGTACAAATATTTTTCAGGCAAATTTCCTTATCTTTCTATAAAATATTGTATGTTCAAACATTAACCATTTTTGGTATTCCAGCATATTTGCGGAGTTTTCTCTTCTGTCGACGTATGTCGGCGTGTGCTGTATCTACACAGTGCTCATATCAGACTCGGTTAAACAGGTAATATGCCTTAACTAAGTAAATTAATATAGATTAAGCCTTTCAGCAGCATTGCGCTATTCCATGACATGGTTTTGTAATTAATCTTTTTGATGATAAAATTTACAACTTACTTATATACCTTGTTAAATGTAGTTTTATTCCTTGGAAAGATATCGCATGGCAACAGTATCAGTATAAGAGATTTTATAAAAGTGAAGAAAGCCTTACTGTGCCAATTTTCATCATTAAACACCTCTTAAGAACCTTAAAGGTCTTGTAATTAGGTACTTTTAAAAGTTTTTTTGTTTATCTATGTATATGTAAGGCAAATGTTCTTGTGAGTGACAAGATAGTATGTATACAATAAGCACATCGTTAAACCTGCTTGAAATTTAAAAAAAAAACTAAAGTAAAAAAAAAACAAGAAAGGAAAATTTCAATGGTCGTTAAAACTGACGTAAGTGCCTAAACAAAACCAGCTCTTGATTTTTTACTAACCTGAGACGTCATTTTGTCGTTAAGGCCCCTTAGGAGTACCTACCTACATTCCTTGTTAATACACGTACTCTTAATACCTGAAATCCTGAATTACTATGAATAATTATAATCTATTTCTCTTCCAGCTAGTTGACCGCTACTTCGCAACAGTAATAATACCAGTAGAATACTACTGCCTCATGTTACTGATACCACTCTGCATACTGTGCCAGATCAAATACTTAAAATGGCTGGCTGTATTCTCCCTGATAGCCAACGTTCTACTAGTAGCCACTTATTTAGTATGCCTGTATTATATTTTTGGGGAGCCCTTGAATTTCTCGGACAAAAAAGTAGTAGGCAACCCTGCTCGATATCCAGCATTTATTTCGTAAGTAATGTTCCATAATTACTAGCCTCAAAATTAGTTTTATGTTCGTTTTCATCATCACTCCCTTATTTTTGTGTGACCCCTATAAAAACAAAATTCCTGTTATGTGTTCCATAGGGGTCATTTAAAAATTAGGGATTGATGGTGAAAACGGGCATAAATAACTATCAAATGACTAAAATTCATATTAATTACAAAACAATACTCAAAAATTTGTTCCATCATAGTCAATAGATTATATCCTGTGGTTTATAATATTCAATCAATCAAAAGCCTCAATCTTTGCTTGAAATTGAATTGTGTTGTTGTAATACATAACTTAAACAGTCAAAGTTAATTGTTATACGAGTATGCAATTGAGCAAACAGAACCTACCGTCCATTGGATTAGATATTTTACTTACCTACTTCCTACCTTTTTCAGCGCATAGTACAAGTCTTATACACATCCCAAATATGTAATAGCTTGCTCTACCAATATTTTGTATTCCTAACTCATGTGACTTCTTTCAGGACTGTAATTTTCGCCATGGAAGGCATAGGCGTGGTGATGCCCGTTGAGAATGTCATGAAGAAGCCCAAGCACTTCCTAGGTTTTCCTAGCGTGCTTGTAGTGGCTATGACTGTCATTGTCTTTCTGTACAGCACTCTGGGTCTGTTTGGATACTTCAGATACGGTGACGTTTTAAGAGGATCCATCACTCTTAATTTGCCAATGGATGACTGGTAAGTGGAAAAGTTTTGGAATTGTAGAGCGATTAGGTGCCTACGCATTGCATCGAGTCTTTGTCAAAGCTCCTTAGGATCTATATTCTCGGATTCTGATCAGATGTAGTATGTAATTACCTACCTTCTTTTAAATTAAGTGAAGAGCAAATATTATGTCAAATGTAACAAATAAAAGATTTTCTTATCTTTTGTCAATACCTACATTTTTCATTCTACAGTTTAACTAAGAGTATGTCTTTTAGCAGGTTGATACAAAACTACGAATATATTTAAGTTTAAAATTCGTCCTAACATAACTTCTATATAAGAAAGGAGTGGAAAAAATACAATCGACAGGTAGAATTCGTTCTATACGCTAACTAAGCAATCAAATAATTAGCTTGCAAATTCGTTGCACGTTGATAACATTCCATTCAAATAACTTGTTTTAGAATAAAAGAGGATATCTCGTTTTGTACAAAAAAAGGTAGGTATTTTGCAAAGGTGCAGCAAAAAGTTTTCCGTTTTCCTTTAAACCGACTCTCATCAAAAAAGTACTTTTTTTCTTATTAGTCAGTTAGGTATGACCTTCAAAAAGTTCAAAATACATTTATGTATTAAACATCACTGCACCAAAATAATAAAACAGCAAGACAGACGTCCGTCGTCCATAATAGTTTGTATTTCTTCCACAGGCCAGCGATTTGCGCAAAGATTTTCATAGCGCTATCAATTTTCCTGACGTACCCACTGCAGTTCTACGTAGTAATTGACATATTTACTAAGTACACAGAACCTCACATCAAGGACAAGTACAAATTGATCACGCAGATCGCAGCCAGAACTATCGGGGTGTGTGGCTGTGGTAAGTATTGAAACAACTACAAACTTTCCTTTGAAGGGAAATTCCATTAGCTTTTAAAAACAATTAGGTAATGACTTAATCGCTCTTGATAAATTAGCTCTTAATAATTTATATTATTATGATGGCATCGACCTAAAAAATTACCAGTCTTTTATTTTTTGTGCCGACCTTGGAAAATCTTTGTTGTTAAAATCCTTATTAAAATGTAAAAACAAAATACTTTTGTTACTTTTTATGTTCGTAGGTACTTTATCATTCCCTCTTTTTATTTTAATTAGGATTAATTTAATGTGAAACTTTTACCTAACAGTTTAATGTAGAATTATATAATTTTAAACTGTTTTATACATTCTAGTGGCCATCGGAATCGCTCTGCCCCTGCTAGAGCAAATTATCAACATCGTTGGCGCGTTCTTCTACTCCACCCTTGGTCTCATCATACCTGCTATTATTGAGTCTGTCTTCAGATGGCAGGACTTGGGAAAATACAACTGGGTTCTCTGGAAGAATATTCTGATTGTGCTGTTTGGGCTGGGCAGTTTAATCTCTGGGTGTACTGTCACTATTATGGACATTATAGAGATTTTGAACAGCAGGACTGTGTAGATTACAATGTAATTATTGAAAAATATAAGAAATAACTAGATACTAACCATTTACGAGTATAAAGATAAAGACTTTTTTATCTGTAAATTAACTTTTCATTATCCTTCTAAGTTGTTACTGTTACATTTGATAGATTAAGGTTTTTAAGAAATTAATAGGGTCACTAATTGTGATTCTGAAAGACTCATAATTTTGAATTATAATTTAGTTTGTTAATTAAATTAAATTAAATTAAATTATTCCATAATATATCTTATTATTATAATGCTATTCAAAAGTTATTATATGAATTATATTTATTCAGTTGTCGTTAGGAAGCAGAATATGTAAACACAACTAAATTAACTCAAGAATCGAGAAGTTGTTGTAGAATACTCGTACACTTATCATCGCGTGAAATTAATTGTTTACGTCGACCGTACACTACGTTGTGAATAAAAACTGGTGCAGCGTGGTGAATCGACGTATTTTAACATCATCAACTGTGACTGTGGGTTTTGTGTTCAAAATGTAATAAACATGAGGATGATGTCAGTTTAACAAACTTTTTATCTTTTTGTTTAAATTCATACAACTAATAAAAATAATTAATTAAGCTCTATAGGCACTAAATATTAAAATGAACTAAATTTTACAAGAATAATAACTAAAGTTCCAGTAAATTTGGCTATTTTTGGAAGATCGACCAATTTTATTAAGTGATAAGAATTTTTTTAGAACGCTACAAATTCTAAATTAATGTAGAGTCAGTGATTTTTATATACAAAGTATTATGTGGAAAAATTCTACAAGATAATTCGCATGTTAACTGAAGTAAATACACCGAGAGTGGTGTATCATATTTTTATCTAAACTTGAAAGTTATATTAACATTAGATAAAGGGATTAAATCATAAAACGATTGTTCTGGTGACAATTTCTTAAGTGGATAGATGAGAGTAGGTTTAACAGTGTCAGTTGTATATTTTACACGTTTTATGAACGAATTACATAATTATGAAACGGGATAATCTATCCAAATAGTTTAAATTGTTTTTGAAATCTCGTGAATCTCGGCATGTCAAGATGAGTGTGGAACAAAAATCAAGTGATGAAGACTACAATCCATTTGAACATAGAGACGTTAAAAAACCTAACTCGTAAGTAATAGCAAATTAATATTTAACAATAGTATGAATTTTGTTTAAGTTAGGAAGACACAAATATGTGATATTAAGTGTTTTCTTATCTGAATAAAGTAATTTGTTACTTAGCATTTTGAAAAGGTTCTTGACATCTGCATCGGCTGGAAATATGTTAAACCACTGGTTTAAGTTTATGTATCAAAACAAACCAGTTTTTTACAAAAAATGTTTCACTTTCTTTGAATTACTTGGATCTTAGTCCTAAATTACTTTAACGTTAATTATTTCAAACAGTTTCTTGGTACCTACTTAATTGTCTGATACCTCATCGGTACAATTCATTTTAAGACACATATACTTACCTACCTACACGGCATTGATTCTAAAAAGAGTATGTATCAAAAAAGCAAACAAGCAGTCATTATAATAAGACCAAACTTATTAGCAAGCAGGCGTCATTATTAATGTTTTTTCGGTCATTATAGAGACATCAGGTCGCTGGCGAATCTAATCAAGTCTTCCCTTGGCTCGGGGTTGCTAGCAGTGCCTCTGGCCTTTGCCAATGCAGGCTGGGGAGTGGGCCTGGTGGGCACCGTGGTCATCGCCTTCATATGTGGCCACTGCGTGCATATGTTTGTAAGTTTGTACATTACATAGCATAATATAAATATCATCACGTTTAGTATCCACTGCAGGAGTAACCCTCCCTAATTTATGAAAGACAAATGGAGTATTGGCCTACACTACCCCCCACGCTTGAGGTTGGGGAGGCCTGATGATTGCATACGTATATTTGTTCCTTAATTGCGTTTAATGACATCAATGGGATAAAGGGTCCTTATTCCACGCTGCTGGAGTCACATAGTATTATAATATTTTATCATAGTCAGAGTTTAAAGTTATATTTTGTTGCAGAAAAAGATCATTTATATACTTTGATACTGATTACAAAATCCTAAGTAGCGGAAAACTACCTAAGACTAAGATCTTGTAAAATTTGATGAGATAAGAACCCAGGGAGATAGTACCTAATATATAAGCAAGTTTGAGTCACTTGTTTGTGCGTAAAGGCAATACAAAATCTTCTTCAACAAGAAACTTGACATTGGGCCACATCGTTATGTCATCAACAATCACAATCATAATGTTACGGTTGGCTGCGACAAAAATTGTAAAATAGCAAATAAATGATCACTGTACATTTTCAAAAGGACGACAAAAACCTGCATTATCACGTTTTTATTTATAAAAATGGTTGATAAAACTAAATACTTTTTATAGGTTTCAACATCGCGAGGGTGTTGTCGGTTAGAGAAGAAACCATTACTAGGGTATGCAGAAACATGCCAAGCTGCTTTTGCCAATGGACCTAAACCAGTGAGAAGATGGGCTAAGGCTGCTAGGTAACCTACCTAAATATATTTATAAACTCGGTATACCCCGTTATTGTACACATAGTTGGTTTTGCGTTAAAGCTTCTAAATCACGAAGACGTGGTTTAGATTCCCACATATAAAGATAAAATTAATATATTCATTTTTGTGTAGTGTTTTCTAATTTCGTATGGGCATTGTTAAGCTTGAATCAATTGAGTCCGCAAACTAGGAAGCCACTTGGTTTCCTTTGCTATACCTACAAAATCATTGGTAGAGTCGCATTTTGACAGTCTTAAACAGTATGTCCGTAGACTGATAGTATGTCTAACCTCTAATTAAATAGCCTCAACAATTTTTATGGCTATATTTTTATTACTTTATAAGAAAGTTCATCTATGACCAAATTAGCGCCGTATCAATCGGTTTGAACCAGTTTGAATGCTCTAACACGTGTTTGTGTTATTTTCCAGCATATTTGCGGAATTCTCGTTACTTTTTACATACATTGGAGTGTGCTGCATATTCACGGTACTTATAGCGGATTCGATCAAGCAGGTATGTAATAGAACTTATCGTTAACAAACGCACTAAAAAGGCATCAGCATAACAAATCAGTGAGCGATAAACAAATACAGGGTGTTTCTTGTAAGGTGTCAAGCCGAAGGCAGGTGATAGGTGAGGACTAGACCTATCGATTTCACCCCCATGTATGTTCTACGATTTTTCGTAGTTTAGAAGTTATCGTTAATTTTGTGATTTTTTCAAATTTCAGGACCTAGTGGCTTAATTTTTTTTTAATCTTTTTTTTGGGTTGACTTTTCTCAGATTTCTTTTTTTTGACAGATTCCCTATTAAGTGCAGATATTTGAAAAAAATAATCACCTTCCTATCTTTGATGCAAGATACAAAATTTTTGCTAGAAACATAAAAAATATGCTTTTAGGAGAACAT